CTAGGACCCTGTCTCCTGGGCAGCTGGCCGTACCCCTCTCCTGCCCGCCCGGCCACCCACCTCGGCTCGCTTGAGGAACTCCTCGGTGGCCAGCTCCTCATTCTCCCGCTGGCCTCGCCAGGCGTTGAGTGCTGAGGCCTGCAAGGCCCGGCCGTAGGAAAAGGTCAGAGCCCACGGCCGGGGCAGCGGGCAGTTGTTGATCGCGTTGAGGTTGAGGGAGGCCTCCTCCTCGCTTTGCCCACCAGACAGGAAGGTGACTCCTGCACGGGCGCAGAGAAGGGGGGATGACAAGAGCTGCAGCCCCGGAGCCCACCCAGCCCCCCTCACTGGTCCAGAAGCACGTCTCTGGCCCCGGCCAGCCCTCCCCAGGGCTTTGGAGCATCCGGCTGGATCCGGCCAGACCCAGCAGCCAGGATTCTCCCCGTGGAAGCCCGCTCTGGCCGCTGTTTCCTGCCTGGCGACTCGGGAGACCCCCACCCTCCCTGGATTTCTCTTGGCCCTCTGAGGCCATCTGAGCCGGCAGCCGTCACTTCATCCCTGGCGACTCGGGAGACCCCCACCCTCCCTGGATTTCTCTTGGCCCTCTGAGGCCATCTGAGCCGGCAGCCGTCACTTCATCCTGCGGCGGCGAGTTCCGCGGGTTCAAACTATGAGCTGCGTGGGGAGATCCTTTAGGGGCCCCGGGGCATGGTGTTACAGGAGAGGAAGGAAAACTCGGCCTCACGAGGAAGAGCCTCCCCTGTTCCCGGAAACAGAGGGGGCAGCTCAGTGCTCGGGGAAACCAACAGCGATTTCAGCCCCGTTTTCCGTCGCAAGGCAGGCTGCCTTCTGGCCTTCAGGTTCGGCATCTGACCTCCCCCCGCAGAAGCAACTCATCCCGGAGAGCTGGAAGGGACCCCTGAGGCCGTCAAGCCCAGCCCCTCCCCCGCACGCAGGGATCCAAAGAAGGCATTCCCTGCCATTATCCAGCCCCCGCTTGCACAAGCCCTCGTCCCCCTCTCTGGGTCATTGACCCCGCTGTCCAGCTGCTCCTTGGCGTTCGACCGGAGTCTGCCTCCTGCAGCTTAATCCACGACTGCGTGCCTGGCCTGAGAGAACAGGCCTTGACCCTCTCCCACCACCATCCTTTCGGGCGTGGGGGGGTCTCATCTCCCCTCTCTCGAGGCCGTCCATCCCAGCCGCTCCCCTCACAGGCTGCGGTCCCCCTCGCTGTCCTTCTCGGAGTCATTCCAGTTTCTCCGGCCCTGCTTGAACTGGGCATGGCCCTCGGGAAGCCGGACCGAAGCGTAACTGCGCTGGAACGACGGCTCCCAGTGATACGGAACGGTCACCTCTGCCGACCCCGCTAAAACTGGCCTTTTACGCTGGCTTCTCAGGACGGGCACGTGTGGCGGGGGGACGATCGTGAGCTCACCTGGCACGGCAGGTGGCACGGTCCGGCGCAGGGCAGTGACGGTGGCCATGGCGATCTCTTCGGGGCTGTACTTGGTGGGGCAGGTGTGGCCAGGGGTCACCATGTTGGGCTTCAGCAGAGTCCCTTCCAGGTAGATGTGGTGGTCGCTCAGGGCCTTGTACACGGCAGCCAGAACCTGGAAATGGGCAGGGGCAAGCTTGTCAACGGGCCTGGCATGCCGCCTCTATGGGACCAGGGCTCCAGTAGCAACACCCATGTGTTGCAAATGGAACCGTGGAAAGATAACATCAACGGAAGAATTCTTCCAGTTAAGCCTGTATTTTAATACTGCTTCTGTCCAGTAAATGACAGAGGGGCTCAGTCTTGCTGGCATTTTACTCTCCGCTTTAGAGAACTGCATGCTTGTTAAATCTGTGTTCACCCTTCCTCTAACGCTCAAGGCAACGTCAAGGCAGATGTCTCCCTGACCTTCATCCCCCCAACCGCCACCCTGCGAGCCAGGCTGGGCTAGAGAGCAACTGGCTCAGAGCCGCCCATCGAGTTCCCATGGTTGAGGGTGGACGTGAACCTGGATCTCCCTGCTCCTGCTCCAGCACCTTCACCGTAACTCCACCCTGGCTCTCAGTGAAGACAGTCAATGCTTTCCCTGCCCTCTGTCACGCCTTCTTTTGCTGCCGGCCCACCAACTCCGTGCCCGCCCTCGTAATCCACAGCCCCCAAGGAAGCCACACCTTCTCAGTCACATACTGGCAGCGCTTCAGATCGTGCTCCCCGTCGGGCAGGATCTCCGGTTCCACGATGGGCACGATGCCATTCTGCAGGGAAATCCAACAAAAGCGCTGGGACCCCCGTGGAGGCCAAGGCCCACCCTGAACCCAGGGCAAGGGGACGGGCAGGCCAGCTGCCTCACCTGCTGGCAGATGCTGGCATAGCGGGCAAGGACGTTGGCATTCTCCAGGATGGCCAGGGAGGAGGGGGTGTTCTCGCTGATCTTCAGCACACAGCGCCACTTGGCGAAGTCTGCCCCATCCTTCTTGTACTGGGCACAACGCTCCGCCAGCCCGTCCAGTCCTGGCACGGAAGGAAGGAAGGAAGGAAG